TGAGATATTTCCCTAGCATTTAAAAAATTTTTAAATAGTCTCGTATATATTCCTCCTCTTTCTAATTTCAATTAATTTAAAGAAATATATAAATTATATTAAAAAATTAATAATTTATAACAGTTACGTATAAAAAATAACAATAATAATTCATAATACGTTAATAAAATGTTAATAAAATTAAATAATCTAAAATTCAGTGTCACAATATGTTTGTCCATTAATAATTTCGAAATTACTGAACCGATTTTAATAAAATTATTTGTATTTTGTGTGATTTTTGTTAACTTAAAATATACGATAATTTTTATGGCGATTATTTGTTATTTTTTATTGCTAATTAAAATATTTATTATTTAAAAGTTGTCTAAGTCCCTAGATTCTGTAAGTATTCAATAGATGGCGCTATATTTCAATTCAATTATTTCAATTTATTCACGTCACATGTGCTTTTCAGATTTCCATATGACATAACCTCACTTTTTATATTTTTTTAAATATTATTAATTTATGTGTTCCATTATCATTGTGGTATTATTTTGTGTATTGTCGTTTGTATATATTATTTATTATATATTTATTATTTAGAGGTTATCTTAGTCTGCAGGTTTTGTAAGTTTTCAATAGATGGCGCTGTATTACAATTCAATTATTTCAGGGTTTTTTTCAGATTTACATATGACTTTACTAACCTTACTTTTTATATTTTTTCCTATATTATTATTCTATATATTTCATTCAAATTGTATTATTTATATATTATATATTAAAAATTTGATTGTGTGTGTTTTATGTTTAATTTTAATTCACAGAAATTATTAGTGAATATTTATTTGATTTTATGAAATAATTTAGAATTATATTAAATCAATGTTTTATTACAAAGCCACAGTAATGCGTGGCCGGAGCATCCTAATATATATATATATATATATGCGATAAATAAAAAAATAAATAAAAAATAAAAGAGACACGTGTGTGATTCATCGAGGAAACCTAACGCACACCGCGAAAAGACTTCACTCGAATGTGAGTCATCGTTCTCTTAGGTTTCTCAAGCTCTAACGAACAAACACACCGATTCTTTACTTTCTATGTCCCTCTCTCTCTCTCTTTCTCTCTCTCTCTCTCTCTCACTCACTCTTTTACAAAATTACTCAAAAAGATAACAATTATTCTAATTTAAATAAACCCTCTTTTTCTTTGTCCTTCAATATTCTTATTTCTTACTCGTTATGTAGTCGTTAAAAAAGAATAAAAATAAATTAAAAAAAAAAGAAGAAAAAAAAACAAAGAGAAAGAAGAGAGAGAGAGAGCAATGTATATATGTGTGCGTGGGCGTGCGTTAAGTTTCTCGCGCATGCGCACATCGCAAAAGAAAACGTTTCGCAACGCTATGCGTATTATATCGTTCTCTCGTTGTTCTCTTTAAAGGTAACCAGTACTTTTTATTTATTTATTAATGTTACCACATACTCAAGTTTGTATTATCTTTTATTAGACGTATTGTGGAACAAAATCGATAATGTAAAGATCGACTTTTGAATTAATCGTGACTGATCGATTATTTTTAGGTTATATATACTGTTTCATTTAATATGAATTTATAAATAAAAAAAATGTTATATTCATTGTAATATATTTGTGATATTGGAATAATATTTTAAATAGGACAAAAACATGATTGAAAAAATCTTTAATATATGTTACATATATATATACACATATATATATATATATGTCCTTTAGATATCCTATGTAAATATAAGAAGCTTTCTTTTTTCGTCCAACGAGGTGATGTCTCGGAGGCGTTAAATCAATAAAAGATTCGCCTTGACTAGGAAAATGGTGTAACCAAACGAAATAATCATTTTATTCCCAGAGTCTATATATCTCTATTAAAATTACAAAAACATATAAACTTTCTTCGACGTTGAATTTTTCGCGCGCTTTTTTCCCCCATTTTTGAATTTCGCGCCGAAACATCCAACACAACAACTAGAGTCATTTCCCCTTACCCTATTTAGTAGACGACTTAAAATAATTTCTACCAATGTAATTCGTTTAATATTGTTCAAATGAATTATCGTGAATTCTAATATATCGATTAGAAATGTAAATGAATGATATTATACGAAAATAAACGGTAATTTTTTTATATCGACAAAAGAACGATTCAAAATAATTTCTACCAATGAAATTCGTTGAATATATTTAAACAAATTATCGTCACTCACATTGGTCAAATAAATTATCGCGAATTTTAATATAACAATTAGAAATGTAAATGAATGATATTATACGAAAATAAACGGAAATTTAGAAGAAATTGAATTTAGGATGTGAATATGTACTCTGGTAATCCAATGATACAATGAGACTTTCGTTCTTAGGCTTTGTTGATAATTTAATAATAACACGTTCGATGGAAATAAGATTAATGTGACTGTGTCCTCTTAGGATCGTTAGTTATATACTATTAATGTATTCAATTTATAAATCTATTTAAATTGTTCCTAAATATTTCTATTTTCGTTTCATTTTTATTTAAATATAATTTAACGTAATAGAATAATTTTTTGGGGGTAATTTTCTTTTTCTTTTTGTCATACATTTACAAGGAAAAAAAAAAATAAGAAAAAAGATAAAACGTTAGATTTATCGACGAAAAAGCGATCGAAAGGTTTACGTAAGTCCGTTTTAACAGGTAAACACACTCACATACATAAAGAGAGACAGCGCGCGCGTGCTCGCACACACACCCACAACAAAATAGTCTTTTCCGTTCGTACATACATCGATAACTCGGCAGGAATGAGGTGGGGAAGAAAGGGGAAGTCAGGGAAAAGGAAGGCTCGCGCAACATATTCAACATTTTGTCTTTTACACATTTAAACTCTGCCTCGTCATCGTCGTTAATCCGCCATATAAAAAATATATGAATTTTTCATTTTAAAGTTACATTTTGTTGTTTGTTTGTTTGTTTATAAGTACGTTAACATCAACATTATATTTATTAAAGACAAAAAATGAAATTTTATTCTAAAAATAAAGAATAAACAAAAAATCATAATAAATGTGTTTTTAGGTACGTTGCCGGTAGAATTCGTTGGACCACCGAAGTCAAATTATTATTCAAACATTGTAGAAATAAGAAACATTGTCAAAAAAAAAAAGAAAGAAAAAATAACTTAGAATAATATTTAAAAGTGTGATTTCTAAAAATATATTTGTCAAATATTTCCCTCCCCCACCCCATAACGTTCTAGAACAATTCACCAAATACAAAATACAAAAATACGAAAGGTAGAAAAAAGAAAAAAGAAGATAAAAGTGAAAGAGAAAAACACAGAGGTTAGGAGAGCCATTGATCGAGAATAATCTTCAAAAATGCATACATTCAATATTATCATTGTTACCACTACCATCACCATCACCACCACCATATCATCATCATCATCATCATTATGAAGAACATCACCCTTTATTAAACTTTTTTCCTACATAAACATATATAAGAATTCCTGTCAAAAGGTATAGGTATATATACATATATATACATATATATATATATATATATACACAAAGGTGATAGAAACGGTTTCATTGTCATTTTTGTTTGAAAACTAACTTACCCCATAAACCAATCCACGGTATCGCGGAGATACTCGGGTAACCTATCCAGCTTGGATGATTTTCAGGTGGATCACAGTGTCGAGAGGGTGAAAGTAGCGCGAAGGAGAACGGAGAAAAACAAAATAAATTCACTATCTCCTTCTCTCTTTCTCTCTCTCTCTCTCTCTCTCACTCTATCTTTCTTTCTCTCTTTCTTATATATATATATATAATATCTTTCTTATTATGTGTATATATATATATGCAATGTATATGTGTATGTATATATATATATAGGTAGTTTTCTTTCTCCCTCTATCTATCTCTTTCTTAACGTATAATGCCAGTTTTCCTCCTCCTCCACTAGTGGCAGCAGCAGCAGCAGGCGGCGCACGTTTCGCGATCTCGCGAAATCTAACATGGCGGAGGTCCTCTATTGTCACCTGTTCCCGTCATGCCTCGCTAGCCCTCATGAACAAATATTCGAGCTAAGGGCTGCACTACAACGACGACGATGATGACAACAACGATGACAACGATGATTAATTCAACGCACACCGAACACTTTTTTTTCTCTTTTTCTTTTTCACCTTTTTCTCTCTCTCTCTTCTCTTATTTTTCTTCTTATTATTATTTTCTTGTTTTTTCTTTCTTTCTTTATTTTTTAATCATCGAATTAGTTCTTCGATATCATAAACACTAAGAAAGGAAGAAAGAGAGAGAGAAAGGAAGAGAGAGAGAGAGAGAAAGAAAGAAAGAAAGAGAAAGAGAGAGAAAGGAATAACACACCATACACTAAAATTCACGGTTCGCCGAACCGATCTAATCGTTTTGTTTGTTTGTTTTTCTTTCTTATCGTTGTTGTTTAATCCATTCGTATTCTATTGTATTCATTAATATTATTATAGGTTTGTTTCTCTATCGACACGAAGATAACCGAGGCAAAATTGACTTGCCACTTACAGCTGATCATACGAATCTTCTCTATCGCTTACCTCGTACCATACTAAACTGTTCGTTCGAGGTGCCACCAGAGTGCACCAATGTCCATGGGCGATCGTGCCGCCATCTATAAAACATATAACCGGTTATTTCAAATATTCTTTTGATGATCGAAATTATTAGAACAGTTAATTAAAAAAAATTCGAACAAATTTAATTTTTTACATACCGGAAATTCCAACATTTGATTTAGGGAAAAAGTATTTGTAATATTTTCACAATATGTTAAAGGAATTTGATTTATACTAGGAGTCCACCATATATTATGAATTTTTTGAAAAAAAAGAAATAAATTGATTGTTATAAAAATATTTCACTTTTTATTTATGAACACACAATTATTTTTTAAATAATAAAATAATAACGGGTGATTGTAGAAAATGTACATCAACAAATAAATATATTAACATTGTAATGTTACATAAGTCAACCACTGTTTGTATGTGTATGTGACTATGTTTTATATAATAACAATAATTAATCTAAATCACTTTATTAATCAATACTCCTCTATTCGTTATTTATATTCTTACTTTATTAGTTTTGTTTCTTGCGAGTATTTCATATTTTCCGTTTCACTTTCCGAATTGTCTTCAATTTCAATTACGTTATTTGTATTCATTACTTTAGTATCCAACTGAAATGATAAACAATTGATACACAAAATTTCACATATGAATTATCTTTAATTTTTTTTTTTTTTAAATATAAAAATAATACACAATTAGTTACCTTATTTGATATATTAATTATTGGATTCATATATTCGTGTTCACCAGGTGGTAAAGTTTCCATATAATTAAATGAATTTTGAATTTCATGTTTCTCATTGTAACTAGGATTTAGAAAATGAATGCTGTAATGTAAAAACAATTTAATCTCATTAATAATATCAATAATAATATTTTATCGATTATTATCTTATAAAATAATTGATTACAATTTTATTAAATTAAAACAAACCTCATTTCATTTTTACTCCCACGATTTATTCTTGTATGTTGATAATAATAATAAATAGATAAAATGGCAGCAGTTGTGACTAAAGAAATAGTTATGCCAACTATCATTCCTTTATTTTGAGTATGTATATTATGTTTATTCAAAGCTTTCGATAAACCATATAATTTGGAATTTTTCTTACACGAAAAATCATTGTTCATTGTTTGTCCGTATTGACAAAAACAAGTGGAATCTTGTTCATCCAAAAGACACATGTAAGCGCATTTATGGTTTTGACATCTATTTGGTACTTAAAATAAGCAAATAAAATGATTAAATTAACCGATAAAGTTATTTTTGGGTTGATATTATAATTAATATTTTCATAGATGTATAATTTGTTTGTAGATTTATTCTAACAAAATAACATAACAATTTTATATATAATGAACAAAAAATGTAATAGAACAAAATATTAAGCATGTAACCAGAGTTACATGTTTAAAAACAAAATAACATTTATATTTCAACATTAAACAAATAACAACGTAAATAATATCTCAATTTTTACCTAATGGTTGACTATTCTCGTGAAAAATAATAAAATGTTTGGTAACTAATCGTGAAACAAGAATGGTCGTACAAATGGTATTCTTTGTTAATTTACATTTGTTAATATAACCCGTATTGGAATGTAACCAATAAATATAATCATCGTGAACGTGAACATCCAAAGGTTCTACCTGTAAATTATTTTTGATAATCATTTATGCGATACGAACCAAAAAAAAAAATGAGTGAATACAAAAACCGAATTACCTCTGTTTCTAAAAATAATTTTCGATCGGTACCATCAAATTTGACCGATTCGATGATATTTAATTGCGTATCGCACCAATACAATCTCGATCTTTTATAATCTATTGTTAATTTTTGTACAGTACCAAGATTTTCAGTAACAATTGGTTCAACGTTAGTACCATTCATACTTGATCTGTATATTTTACTTGTTGATTGAGTTTGAAACTGCCAATCGGTTTGACTCCAGAATAACAATCTGTTTTGATTTTAAAATTTATCGATTAATTATAAATCAAATTATTTATTTGTATTATTTTATTGAATTATTGTTATAAGTTATTTCATATTACCCATTGGTTGGATCAACTTTGATCGATTCTATTGTACTATTTCCATTGATCTTTAAAACAATTGTACATTTTTCCTCTTCCAAATTGCAAGCCTAAATGTAAATATTTTATTAAAGTTAAATTTTTTAAATGAACAATTATTTATTTCTAATGATAATTTGTTCAAATCACGTTTATATTTACCTTGATATTGTATGGATATAAGTCATTGAAAAAATAAATATTATTTGTTATCCAATCGGTTGCTATTACACTGGGTTTTCCAATATTATCGATTATTATTTTTTTTTTCGTCTTCATATTGATTTTTGTTATAATTCCAAGTATAACTAAAGATTATAAATCATTTATATATATAGTTAAAATTATTGATATATTATAGATGATAATAATGTTTGTAAATATTGAGTTGTCCGGAAAGTTCGTGCCGATTTTAACAGAAGATTGTAATGCAACGCATTTATATTATAATTATATATAATATTATTAATATATATATATATTTATAATATTAAATATTTTTAATATTATATTTAATATTAAATTATTATAATTTATTATTCATTATTATAATTATTATTTAATTATAATTAATATTATAATAATAATTATTATTATATAATTAATATTATAATTATATTAATTATTATTAATTAATATATATAATTATATTACATATATTATTATTATTATATTTTTAGGTTACCATTCAAGATGGAGAAAAATTGTTAAACAAAATGGCACTTATATATAATTTAATCCATATAAGTGCCATTTTGTTTCACAATTTTTCTTCACCTTGAATGGTAACTTAAAAATTTCGTTCTTTCAGAACTTTTCAGGTTTTTTTAGCAAAAGAACTTTATGCCATCTACCGAAAATCAGCACGAACTTTCCAAACAACTCAATATTTACAAACATTATTATTATCTATTATGATATTAAATAAAAAATAATTAATTTTTATATACCATTGCTCAAATAAACAGTATGTTCTCTTGCATTAAAATCGAGACCATAAATTTCAAAATGTGGATCATGATGGAGTACCTCGTGATCGTTGAAATTAAACGTAGTTTTGCTAACATCGTATCCAGTAACTACTATTATTTGCATTTGTGTGTCTAGAATTAATATGATATTATCGTTTTATTTATTTAGTATTATATGTAAGGGTTACTATATTTTCCTTTTGTCAAAATATAGATGCAGATTATTTTAACTAAACATTTTAATACGAGACACAACATAAATCTAAAGTAAAGTAAAATAAAAAATCAATAATACAAAAAAATGTTTTAATATTCTTACTTTTAAAAATATTAAATACCTATCCAATAAGTAGTAAATAAATCTTATCAATTATTGTTATATTTTAACATAATAATAATAATAATAATAATATTAGCAAAAGTATGGAAAGAGTAAAAATCCGGAAATTTCTGCATATTTACAAGAACTGACTTTACTAAAATTTAAGGTTCAAAAAAAAGGAAATATAGTAACCCTAACTTAACGCTATATTTAATAAAAATATATATTAAGAAATGAATTTTGAATTGTTCTGCTCTTTTAGTATTTACCAGAATAAGCTTTGCAAGAAACTTGGTCGGTCTGTAAGATATATCCACTTTTGCAAGAACATTTGTATCCACCTCGAATATTATGACAAATTTGAGAACATACATTTAACTCGCATTCATTTATATCTTCGCAATTTACTTGATCAGAAGCTAATTTATATCCAGGATTGCAAGTACAAACTGGACCTAACGGTGTTTTATTACACTTCTGTTGACAGGGATTATTCAACGTACATGCTCGCACTGAAAATACAATTTATGTTTAGCACAATTTATTGGTGTGGATTATTTGAACGTATATATTTGTATACTTTTCATACAAAAAAATATGAACAACTTCATTGGAAAGTATTTAAAGCTTTTTAAAGGGTTCAAATAAAATTTTAGCTTACTGCATTGTTTTAATTCATCACTGCCATCCGAACAATCATTATTGTTATCGCAGACCTTGTAAAAGGGAATACATTTGCCATCGTTGCAACGATACTCTTTACAATCCTTTTCCGAATCTTTGATAAATTTTGTTAAACTTTTTTCATCGCAATACTTTTCATCCGAATTATCACCACAATCATTGACTTGATCGCATACCCACTCTTGCGTTATACAAATTTTATTTTCACAAGCGTATTCATTGGCTCGACAATTTGGACAATTATTTTCATCATCGTTGTATAAACAATCACGTTGACCGTCGCATCTATAAATAAATTACAAATAATAAATTATTTTATTATTATAAAAATCATATCCAATTATTTATTTATTGAGGAAATTTTTTATAAAAAGTATTAGGTTGTCGAGAAAGTAATTTCGGTAGTGTAGGTAAATTATTATAAAATTATATATATATATATGTCTATATATATATATATATATTATTATTTAATAAAATAATATAAGTATTTTATATTATAAATTATTATATATTTTTATTTATATTATTATTTTACTATTTTATTAATTAAATTATTAATTAATAATTATTATATAATATTATAAAATAAATTATATTTATATATTTATTTAAATTTATATAAATAATATAAATATATTAAATATATATATCTTATATTAAATATAAGAAAACTGAAATTACTTTCTTGCCAAGCTAATAGAATATATTTTATAAAATATTAAATTGTTTTAGATTACATTTTACTTTTTGGAATACATATTCCAGTTTTCCGACATTTGAATTCAGTTTTAGTACAGATTTTTGGTTTCTGATGTTGTCGATAACTTCCATATACATCAATATCTTTGTAATCATAATCATGTCTATTTCCACTTCTAAACGTAGGATCTTCGAAGTCATATAAACATTGATCAGTCTCGTCAGAGAAATCACCGCAATCATTGATTTCGTTGCAAACTAATGATCGGTCTATGCAATTTCCATTTAAACATTTAAATAAATTATCCTTGCAATTATTTAAACAATTTTCTTCGTCTGACCCATCATTGCAATCGAACTAAAATATTTATATATATATATATTGTTATTATTTTGAAAGAAATAGGATATGAAGACAGCGAATGGAAGGATCGCGTTCAGGGACGGGAAAAATGGTGGGATTTGGTATTTGCAGCAATGAACTTTCGAGTTCCTAATGCCAACTAATAATAATAATAATAATAATATAATAATAATATTGTTATTATATTATTATTTTCATTGTTTTCATGTAAGGAATAATTTTAAAAATAAAACTTACTTCACCATCGCAAACCCAACCGAAAGGAATACATGTACCCCTTGTACATCTAAATTCTGTGCTGGAACAAGTATGAGAAGCGCAATTTAATTCATCGGAATAATCGGAACATTCGTAAACTCCATTGCAAACTAGATTTTTTGATATGCAGGAACCTTCGTGACATTGAAACAAATCTAAAAAAAAATATTTCCTATATAATTAAATAATAATAATAATAATAGTAATAAACTTAACATTAGATATACCACCATTTTCAGTATACCTATTTATACCACACTAGTCAAAATAACCGGTGTATAAAAAAATGCTTTTTGAAGCTTCCAGTCTTTATTTACTCTTAAAAAATAACAAAAAATGTTTAACAATAATAATTTTAATAAATAGATGGATTTATAGATATTTTTAAATAACAAAACACTTAATTATTTACACAACTCAAATGTTACTATATGAAATAGAAATTTTGAATTAAAATGGCGTCACACAGTCAAAATGACTGGTCTGATATATCTAGTGTTAAATAAATTTTAAATAATTCAATGAAATTTGTTTCTTCGTTTATGATGTTTAGAAATGTTTGCTTTTTACCTGGTCCACAAATAATTGTAGTACAATTTTCCTCATCCGAACGATCCTTGCAATCGTAACGCGAATTACAACGGCTTGTAAGATTTACACATTCACCATTTCTACAAACAAATTGATTTTTATTACATAAGTTGATAGAATAACAATTGTCCGGTTCATCTTCGCCAGTAGGACAATCAACTTTTCCGTCGCATCTGAAAATATTAGAAAAAAAATGATCACTCAAATATTTTTTAAATGTTTGTTGTAAACTTCTCTATGTTTAGTTTTTCTTTTTCTTTTTTACTTACATTTGCGTTGTTTTTATGCAGATGTTGTGTTCCGAACATTTAATTTCATCAAATGCGCAAGATGAATTGACAATGTCGTGACATGTTTTTTCATTAATATCCAATGCCATTCCTGGCGGACACGCGCACATCTATAATAATTAAAAAATATTATTTGATTAATATAAAAATGTCAAATAATAATATATAATATAATAATAATATATAATAATATATATATATATATATATATAATAAATATATAATATATTTAATAATT